AGAAACAAAATTTTCGCGACTAAAAAGAATTTGTACTACAGAATTTTATTCTACAAGTGTAAATTCTACGTGACGGATAATTTCTGATAAAAAAAATTACGAACTCTGATCGATGAACAGAATCATCATCAATAGACCACGATAGAAAATCCTATCTTCATGCCCTGAACATTATCGAAATCATTATCAATCTCAGACACACTCTGTGCAATTTTACACTGTAAAATTCTCCGCAAATCGATCATGTAAAAATCTAATCGCTAGCTTTGAATAAACAACGAATCTCAATTGCACGTCAGTTTCGGATACGCGAGAATCTGAACTGCAGAAGAATTGGAAATCGTCGAATATCGTGAAACGTTGCACGATATCAGCCTCGAGTCGCGCAGGATCGGTAGCCGCGGTTGTATTCTCGCGTACATAAGCATCCCTGAGAAAGATGTCTCTTCCACGGGTTCTAAATGGGGGAGATTCCTTGGTGTGTATTCCCATCGACGGAGAGTTCGAAGGAGAGAAAGACTCGGCCGCGCTGTGAGCACGGTATCAGATACAATGCGATCCGTCTGTTCCCGTATCGCGTAATCGCCTTATCACGGGAACACGCACGCCGGCGATGCGGCTTAACGGTTTCCTGCGTTCGATCAAAGTCCAGGCACCGTTCCGCGAGGGAAAAATTCCAATACAAATTTGCATCTCGCGCGCCCGCTGCAGATTCAAACGCGAAAGCTTACGTGTGTTGCACGCTCGCTCGACCACCAGGTAAATAGAGACGGTAATGGAGTAGACGCGGGTGAAAGAGAGAAAGAGAGAGAGAGAGAATTGGAAGAGAGTGTAAGTTCTTCGTTCGTGTGAGAGAATGCAGGACAGCAGAGAGTGTGTCGAATAACTTCCTAGAGGCGCGCCTGTCACGACGCCCCGGGTCATTGGTCACCCCGGTGCTTATCTGCGGCTGGCTGCGGGCCATCTCGAAGGCCCTCTGCCTCTCCCCTCCCCCCAGCCTTTAGAAGGCTCGATTTTCACCGCGCGATTTCATTATCCCCTCGATCCGCACCACGTACGCTCTTCTCGCCGCTCTGAATGGGCCCTTTCACACGGGCCAGGCGATAAATTGCGACCGAGGATCGGCGTCGTTATGATACAACGATCTAGGCGGCACCTGGATCCACTGCGTTGCTTCCGCGTCCCCCTCTGTCCCAGGCGATGAATCGCCCTTCAGGATTTCGTGGAATTTCTTTGCGTGCGAGGGGAATTGTTGCAAGCGGGAATGAAGAATCTTTCGGATATATATAATCCCGCGGGTTATCCGATACACGGGTCGGAACGAAATGTAACACGGAAGCGTCGGCCCGGGCGCGAGGAGGAGAAGAAACGCCGAGGCGTTCCCAGGCGTTACGACACCGCGCGAATTTCCGTGGCGATCGCGTGCGCCCCGCATAACCGTGAGGCAATTCGTCCGAGAGAATCGCTTTTAACGCGATGCTCGATCGCTCGGTCACGATTTCGTCGGTCTTCGCCCTCCCTCCCCCCCTTACTTGCTCACGTCTCTGCGTACTTTCGTGAAATCCCGAACAATCGACACGACGCCGCCCAGTTCGATACGTACGTATTGTATATTCGTTAGGTAACCAGCCTTTCTTTTCAGTTACGCTCGACTATCGCGTTCGGCCGCGTTAATCGACCGGTTACAGCGATGATGCAGGTCTCGACGAGGAAGTAACAGGGAAACGGGGCTTGTTTCAGTTGGAAGGCTCGCTGGGCCCAATTGTCTTTCGATTGGTCACGGACACGTGTCTCGTGCAGACGAGAGACGTTTCTCGTTACGGTCTTGAAAATCGTTCTAGTAATGGCTGTTGATAATGCAGTTGATTGTCGATGAAATGCTACGTACTGCATTTAGAAGATGAGATTCATGCCTCGAGAGAAAGATAAAATAGAAAAAGAATTGGTTGTTGCATTGTACGAGCCTCGTCGTTATTTCACGAATGGATTTCGAATAATAACGATTGCTTTTTGCAAAATTATTGTAATAAAATATATGTATCGTGTATATAGTATTTCATTATAATGATTTCATATTACAATGATAACATATATTATATTATGTGGTATATTGTTGTAATATATGTGATATTATATTATATTAGCAACAATTATTAATAGCATGAGACAAGTTAAAAGAATATTAAAATATAAAATATTTAAAGAGAGGAATGAGTGAATTAAATGAAACACACAAAGAAAAGAAAAGAGAAAGCATTCATCCTATGCACTGTATCTACATACGACGTTCACCAAGGAAGTTCTTGGGAATACAAACCTTCCCCAAAGAATTAATCATCGAATCAGAAACGTTTCTTAAAGATGCCACTCGATTTTCCAATTATTTTCAAATTCTTCAATTTGTCGATATAATTGAAACACGTGTATCAAATATTAAATGTATGCACATATCAAACACTACCGTTTCATATATCGCGACAATGATTTAGAAAATAACGAATAACAAAACCAATACTAACGCGTCTCGTTTCCCTTTGTTCTGTTGTTACAGATGGAGCATAGAGGCGCGGCTGTATCCGACCAGCAGGAGCATCAGTAGCGACACTCGATCGTCGGGGCCCTGAGCGGGCCCTCAACAGTCCGGGGACGTCGTCGCCGGGGCCCGTGGTGCCTGCGAGGAAGCTGGGCGGCGTCGCAGCGCCGCGATGGCCGCGACCGACGGACAGATCGTCGTTGCAGCGGCACGCTGGGCCGAGGAAGCCACGTACCTGCGCGAATTCGTGTCCAAGTACCGTCTGCCAGCGGTGATCAAGATCACGAAGGGTCAATACGGCGGGCTGGGTGTTCCAACGTTGCCGGCGCCCAGTCTCCAGAGCACGGCCCTGTTGGTGTCCGCTGGACGTCGACGGAAGATCGTCGCGCAGGCGGTGAAGATCAAAGAAGGGCGCCGAGTGGTGGGCGTGGGGCCCAGGTTGGCCATCCCAGACTCGTACGCCGGCTACTTCGAGATACTGAGCGAGGAAGGTAGAGCCGTGCGGGGGATAGAGTCGGTGAACGAGCTGTGCCGAAGATGCCCGGAGGAAGGGGCTCTGGTGCGCGAGACCGTGCGAGGGATAGCGTGCAGAGTGGACGGCGACTCCGGCATAGTGGTCCCGGAGGGAACGAGGACCCTAGCGGCCGGCGAGACGATCGTAACAGCCGGGGAGATTAGCCTGCCAGGTCGCGGTCGATTTCTACGTTGCGTCGACTGCCGAGGGGAGAGCGTGCTGCTGGGTATGGAGCAGCGCGGGCGTTTCAGTGCCCTAGCGCGCGAGGACAACATCAGCGGCGTGCACACGGCTCGGGCGTTGCTCAGCAAGCGTCTGCCGTTGACGGTCCGGCTGGTGCACGGTCAACCGCCGAGGGGATTGAAGTCGTCGTCGCAGTTCGTCCCGGAGCTGAGGCTTTTGTCCACCTTCGAGGAGGAGCATGTGTTCGCGCTGCCGTTGCAGAGAGAAGGCGCGGCGGTGGCGTTGCCCCTGGCCGCCCCGTTGAAGCTGGTGAAAGCGCGGAACGAGGAAGCGCTCCGGTCGATGCAGGAATTCACGAGGCTGGTGGAGCGCGCGTCGCGCCTCGTCACCGACGTGGCCGATCGCGCGCACGTGCTGGACGGCAGATTAGGCGAGAGCAAGCCCTCCAGGCAGACCAGAAGCGGATCCGGCTTCCTCAGGCGGTCTTCCACGAATTCGGACAACGGGCCGATGAACGGGCATCACCGGAACAACGCCGGCCATCACCATCATCATCATCACTATCACAGCAACGGGGGCCACCAGGCGTCGGGTCACGCGGGTTACAGAGACGAGAATCGCGTGCCGCCGTCCGCCTGCACGGAGGAGTACGACGAGATCGATCAGATTTACGACTACGTGCGCGGATTCGCGCCGCTACCGAAGAGCGTCAGGTCGCCTTACGAGAGCCCGTTGCCGGGGGCACAGGGGGGCTCCAGTCCACCACTGACGCCTGTTACGGTAACGATCGCGCCTCTGTTGGACGACAGACCAGAACCACCGCCCATAGAGACCATACCGACGAAGAAGATCCAAGCGGAGAAGAGGACGAGGCGCGCCGTGAAGGAAGCGCCTCAGCCGAGAGCGGAGAAGCCGCCGCTGGCGAAGCTGTACGTGAAGAACAGCGGCACGCAGAGGGGACGGCCGTTGATGAGGCAAAAGAGCGCCTCCCCGTTGAAAGAAACGCCACCGGGTTACAAGGGCGGGTCGCCGCTTTTTAACATCAGATACAAGAGCCTGACGAACCTGCAAGCGATGGAGCTCGACGGGACGTTGGACTCGAGCCACTCCGGGGGGAGAACGTCGGGGGATTCTGGTGCTGGTGCTAAGCTACCGGAAAAGAGGTGCGGAGGATTTTTCCAATGGCTTTGTAACGGGGTAGACTCGTTCAACATTTCGTTTGCAATTCCGTTTGATTAATTTATTGCCACGCTTCTCTTCATTTTCTCTTCCTCTATGATTTTATGAAATTTGAAGAAATTAAAGTGAACATCGCTCGTTAGTAAATGTCGCAACAAGTTTCGTACTTTCAGTATTTTATTGAGTACTTCCCTTATATTTTGCAGTTTTACATTTCCTATGATATTCTAATCATGATTGCAATTCTAATCGTTATCGCAATTAATAAGAATTAGCATATAATTGTTCTCTGTTCAAGTCCGGAAACACAGTTTTCGTTCCAACTAAACGATGAATAAGAGTAAACATACCGATCAAACGAAATCATTAGAAATTATCTTTGTCGTTTGTTCAGATCGCGACGTCTGAGTAGACCGCGCTCGTTGACGAATCTGGTGTGGGATCTCCGCGGCGGAAGCGGTCTTGGCTGCGCGAGACCGGAAACCCCGCCACCAGCCACAGCAGCGCCATTGCCACCGACTAAATGTGGTCCACGCCTGGCTGTCACGGTTGTGGCACCCCGGCGTGTCGGCACGCTCTACCTCTAACTTGTGAGTACTTCTTCTTTCTCAATTTCTTTTCATTATCTATCAAATTATCTCGCACACCTATTCAATAAATGTTTAACAGACTGAGAATTCAGTTCAGGGCTGTCTGCGGCGAGTATCACGCGTATTGTGTCTCTGATGGGCCAAATAAACAATAAATGAAAACTGAGACAATACTATTATACAGATTATATAAAGAAATATAAACTAGACTACATAGAATGTGAGAGAGACACTTGTTTCCAGATTGACCAGTCAATCGAAAAGTTTAATATCATTAAAATTATTGAATATAAGATTTCTTATCTAGAATTGAGGAATTACATACCAAGCATTGGAGATTAAATGTACATAAAAAATATTTGTACTTCTCGGTTGTTTTCTTTTTTTATAATAATAAAACGGACGTTCATTTTATTCCAGTCTGACATTGCGCAGGATATTTTAATGATTCTTATATAATAAATGGTTGGGAATTTTAATGCGTGTTATACGAAGAGCAAAATTTTTCCATCGACATGAAAATAGGTACGATACGTTGCTAAAAAGAAAAATTGTTAAATGACCTGCAGCTAGTAATAATGCGTTACTGTAGTACTTGCTAATAATATGTTTCACAATATCATTAATTAGTCCTGCTGTTGCCATTAAAATCTGAGTTTGCTTCCCAATAATTCATATCGCTTTATCACGTTGTAAACGGCTCCCTGAGGTAACCTTCGAATAAAAATATATTATCTCTTCGTAGAGCGTACCAATACACTTCGTTTGTCTCGGGCAATAAACTTAATCTTCCACCTGTATATCCATTCGCGAGGCATGGGCGACAGATGGCCGGTGACAGTAGAAAAAAAAGGCCTAGAGAGAAACAGGCGTGTACCGGTTACGGCGCAGTTAGAGCGTACTTTGTCCTGGAATCGTTAAATTTACAGGACCATAGGCCGAGCCTGGAGCATTAACGAAGCGTTTTACTAGCCGTTATAAAAGGCGGCAAATGTTTCCCTATTGGCCACGACTCCTTATCCGTTTAATCGTCCCCTAACGCTCTCGTCATAATCCCACAATGTCCAGGAAACGCACCTGCATCGTTCAGGGAAACAGCGTTTGCGGATTTTCTATCGGAAATTATTGTTGCTATCCTGGCTTATCTGCTACACTAACTTCTACCATTTCGCTCGTTTTAGCAATTAACGAGGAGCAGAACGAATTCACTCCGCAGCCTCCAGCATTCGAGATAACGCGATCCGTTTTAATTCTCTGGCTAATGCAATGTATAACTCTCGCTTAACGAACACTCGTTTCTTTCTTTTTCTTTCCTTGACCCGATTATATTCGCTTGACTGTAAAATAAGATGTTTCTGTCGCGTTGGCACAAACAGTGATGTACGTCGAATTGGTCATAACGGAGACGGAACATTTACGTTGCGGAGGAACGTTTACAAGAATGCAGATTGCAATGTCTGGGAAGGTACATAAAGTACGAGCTTCTAGAAAATTTTTACTTCTCTTCTGAGAAAGTACAAAGTACAGAGAATGGGCCAAAAAGATAAATCCTACTAAGATAAACGCTCTGACGGTCAACATTTGAAAGAAATAATTTTTAAAATGTAATGAAAAAAATCATGTTTGAATTTAAATTTAATTTAAAATTAAAATTGAAGATTAATAAAAGTAACTATTTCTTATATTTTGATGTTTTATTTAAAAAAAAAAAAAAAAATAGGTGGGAAGAAACCTTTGACCCACCCTATAAAAACAGAACTGCTGTTGAACTGAATTGTAAAAATGTAATCACGACGCAATCTAGTGATTACATCTTTGCACGAGAACGAGACAAAATTCGACAAGATGGTCGGAGCGCGTGACCCTCGTAGAACACAAAATATTACAGACAGAATTTAGTCAAAGTGTGCAGATTTTACGCATTTCGATGCTTGCGTAAATTCGTAATTTGAATAATAAAAATCAAATTCTTTATTCTTAACAGAAGGTTAAAAATCCTAGGACGATGGGGCTGGTCTGATTTGTGTAAAACGCTTACCTCAGGGATCAGCTTTGCGTTTTCTGATGCCTGATTTTAGATCCACCGGATAATAAACAAGCATTTCGCCCGTTTACGATGATACGATCTTATTATTTATCAGTGAAATCGTTCGATTATTTGCTGTTAGGAGACGATTACCTTAAAAAGCAATCGAAATCCTCGGATAATAAGCAAGCAATAAACAAGGAACGAAATCGTCATTACACTCGGATATATTTATTATCAAGGAAACGATCGCTTGGAATAAGCAAGCATTCGAATATCCATGTACGACGGATTCTCGAAATTACAACGAGACGTCCACCGATCCAGTAACCGTTAGAAACCAACCATAAATTAAACCAGTATTCCGATATATATGTCGCAAGTGCGTCTCGATTCAAGTTTTATGATCGAACGAAGAAAGAGAGAGAGAGAGAAATGACACTGAAACGAGAAAGCTCTTGCAGCGTGTACGATCTTTTCCTGCCGGAGGGAAGGGGAGGGAGAGGAGACGCTTCCGGCGTTATCGGCCGGTATTCCCGAGCTGTGGAAATTAACGACGTCTAAGCGGGTTGATCCGGCGTGGTCTGGCTCTGCTCTGGGCCGGTTCCGAGCGAGCGAAAGGAAACGCCGGAGCAAAAGGGAGCAGCGAACGAAGACGAGAGACGGACGTCCCTGTCGTTGGTGGAACGGAGACGGCGAGGGGATAATGAGGGAATCGAAAAACGAGAGAAAGACGAACGATGGAGATAGTCCATGGTGGATCAGGCAAGCGGACAGCCCGGGGATACGTAACGTCATCCTCGCTCACCACGGCCAGGATATAATAGCCCTGGTTTACCTCGAAGAAGCCGCTCCGTGAACGGAATTAAACGAGAGCAGGTTCAACGGCTGAACAAACCGTGGCTTCCGGTCGGCGTCCCTCGCGTCCAGCACCCGCGCATCCCCTTTCGCAAGGAGCTGGATATTGTGCGTCATGAAAATTGCAACTAGCACTATACATATTAGGGAACGTTGTTTCCTCCTTTTAATTGTATTTAGGTTTATTTCTGGTGATATTGGAATTGCATTGCTTCCTCACGAGGAACTCCATTCTGTGAAAATTCGAATTACTCTGTGGATTATTATTCACGAGATTGGGAGTGTTGGCTTCTCGTAAGAAATTTCGTCGTGTATTATAAAAATTGTAATTATTAGGATTATCGATGGTTGTTTTGTCGTAAAGATCACCATCGTGTATGATGAAAATTCGAATTATTCTTAGGATTATTGATGATAAAATTGGGGATGCCAGCTTCTCTTAATGAGAACTTACAATCATGTATTTAAACCAATTATTAGTTTCCAGATTTGACATTGAATTAATAACTAAAGGAATAATTAATCTTTCCCTCTAAACGAAATGTTATTTTTCAAAAGACCAATTAACCAATTTAGTTAAACTTTGAAGAATAAACTTGAACGAAAACTTTCTGTTTAGATTTTGCACTCGAGAGATCATTCGATCGTTGTATATCGTTATCGTCATTTTACAAGGAAAAACGACTGTGTAATTTTTTCCTCGCGTTAACGATCCCTCTGCTCGCTCGAAATGCAGTCAAGGCTCCCCAACGCGAAGGATGCCCAAGGTCAGCGTTTCTTGCTTAATTAATTAACCAGACGAGCATCACCTAGCCTCCTAGCGAAGAAACCTAGCGTTTCGACCGAGGGACACCTAGTAATTTTCAACTGTCGCGGCTTGATTATGCGAGTGCACGCAGCCAGGCCGCGAAACGCCTGCGGCTAGCCGCAAATGACAAGCATACGACAAGTTTCGCAGAAAACTTTGCAACAGCGTTTTAACGCTTCTTAACGCCACGACTAAATGGCCGGAATGACCAATTCGCAATTTTTAAACGCTGAATTTTTTACAAATTTGTACGATTGAGATGTACGTTTCTCTGTTCCTTGCACTTTCGTTTCTTCTTTATGTTTCGCTTCATTTTGTTTCGTGCTTGTACAAATTTTATTTTATACCATACTCGATATTTTCATTTCTGAGGAATTGCAGTCGCGGTCAATTTTCATAATTTTCTGTGTAAAATCGTGAGCGACATTTACGTATCTACGTGGGTTTGTCGTAAAAAATGTAAGAGAAATTAATAATAGATAATAATTCATTGAATTGAGCGTGAGATGACATAAATATGGCACGATTCCGGCGTCAACAGTTGGAGAGTCAATAGAAAGTCAATTTTTTATCCAATGGACAATCTAATTAGACAATTCTTTAATTTCCATACAGTATGCGCAGATGCTAACGTAACTAATTGAGAGATTAACATAGAACACGCTAACGTGAGTACGAGACGTTGTGGAACCAAAGTGACTCTATCTACATAAAGTCTGGGTGTTGCATGATTGATGAGTGAACAAGGTGGATTTGTGGTAGGTTGCCTGCCGAGGGAAAGTAACCACGTCCCCTTGTTTTTGTCAGACTAGAACTGGTACTCTGCAGTTTCGTAATGAAGATGTACACGAGAGGGAATCACTCGTGAGAGAAACCCGCGGGATCATCGGTTATAATCAAAGTGCTACGGTGGTTTCTCGACTCTCTGAACAAAGTAGACACTCTCGATCACCTTTCGATGATGATCGAATCGGTAAATCGATGATTTTTTCAACATCTCTAAATACCTTCCTGTCTCATTCTATTTTCGAGATAAATAAAGTAACTTTAGGTGAAATGATAATTAGATTGCGCGTTTATAATCTATCCTAAATATCCAAATTAAAGCACTTATATTAATTGAGACAGATCTCTGTCTTGGTCCTACTTTTCAAAATTATCTTTATGAAAATAAAAAATTCTACTGAT